CTAGCTTGTTCGATCCTAGGCTGCTCGACTCGAGTCTGTTTGATTTGGGCTGCTACAGCTTCGGCAAGCATCCTCTGCATCTCGCTTCTCGTCATGGTCAGTGTTTGTTCTTCGATTTGGGGTGGTGGCCTTGTCTCCTGATCAAGTCGCCCAGGCTGCCTCCCCAATCTCAAAGATGTTTCGGTCGATGTGTGACCATCCGCTTCTCCGCTCGTGTCCTTCACGTGACTGGCCTCCCCTTGGGTGAGAACTGGGATCTTGACTCCGGGTGGGGTAATAGGCGTCTCTTCCTCCATACGCCTTCCTGACGGCGCGTGCGCCCCAAACGGCGGGAAACCGAACACTTGGAGCGGTGGTTTGGGGTTGGGAATCGGCGGAGGTCGCTTGTCAGTCCATGCTGCCCTGAAATCTTCGTTCAAGTTTTTCTGCAATCCTTCCTTCTCAGCCATCGGAAACAGATCCAAACTAGGTGTAAAGCTCTTAATGCCTTCAAGAGCTCCCCACAGACGGCGCCAAATGATGGGTCTATTCTCGGATCTGGGGTGAACCGGTGGGAAATCGCCCGGATCTGGAATGAACAGATGATAACGAGCTCAGATCTGTCTTGATGGTCTCCAAGTTTCTATCGAACCGCGAGAATACCTGCAAGAACTCAACGCCGGAGGGATTTCTGGCGTAGAGCCTCCGACGCTCAAGTCAGTATGTGAAAAGAGTGAAAAGAGCTGCTCTGAGGAAGCAGCAGCAATGGGGAAGAATTTGGAATGAATGGGAGTTAGGGTTTTGGAGTTACCTCAGCTCCTTTATATATAGAAATGGAACATTTACCTGAAGTCCCCAAAATGCCCCAGCCGACTTAATGGAAATGTCCAAACCGCCCCGGTCGGTTCGCATTCCGTCCATTTCCTAGTCAGCTTCTAGATCCTTCCTTATCCTTAGCTTCCCTTCGATATGCTGAAGTGTATCAGAGCTGTCGAGATTTATGGGCTTCCAGCCCTCTTCAGTCGACTTGATCCAATCGACTCGAGTCAACTGGGTCATACTCAATCGCTAATGGATCTTGATATGCTTTTGACCGTCGCTTCGCAGGAAATCGACTTATACTTAGTCGACATGTAGGAGTCGACCGGAGGGTATTTGGACCCCTAATTGGAGATATTTATAGGGAATATGATGAAGGAGTCGGCTTTGGCTAAGTCGACTCGGTAATTCTGGAACCCTTGATAGTGTAAACCGTTATACGACAGTATGGCTATATCAATAGGGTTTGATGGACACCAAATCTGGTCAAGGAGGCCGTTTAAAAAGTTTCTAACTTCTTATTGTTTTCTCTACAATTTGCGATACCATAAATAATATTATGTTTAGAGGTAATATTTCGTATTATGTTTAGAAGTAATTATATTCGAATTCAGTCGAGCACTTGGTTTTAGAGTTTGTGATCGTTTAATAAACAATTTTCCTTGTTATGGCCTGTTTGACAAATTCAAAATTTTAAACAAACGGTTTACAATATAGTTTTTAAACCCGGCCTGAGTGTCGACGAGGGCAGGTCACTGGGTCACTGGTTAAACCGTCAGGTCACCGGGTCAATTGTTGAACTGGATAATTTATTTTAATTTTTTTATATTATGTAGAGTATTTTGCCATATAAATATACATAAAAGTAACAAAATTAATTATTTTGTATATAAATTTACATTAAAGTGTTAATAATATAAATTTTATAATAAATATTCACCATATAAATATATATACATAGTTCTATTTTTTTATAAAAATTAAAAATATTTAAAAAATTAAATTATAATAATATATATATATATATATAGGGATTGGATCCAATGAGTACACATATTTAAAGTGTGAATGTGAGACCCATTCCTATCCATTAGATTGGTACATTATGTGTGGCTAAGATTAACTCTTCAATTCAATAATAATTCTTTATTTTTATTACTTATTTCTTTATTTTATTATTTTAATTATTTAAATATTATTTTGACAATTGACCATTGACTCGGCGTTGACCGTTGACTCCAGCGTTGACCGTTGACTTCCGGCGAAAATCTTGACTTTCGGTGTTGACCGTTGACTTCCGGCGTTGACCGTTGACTTCCGGCGTTGACTTTCAACATTGACCTTTGACCCGTAGCATGCATTGTGTATGAAGTAAATATGCATCAGTACTATGCACTTAGTATGAACTAAATATGCATCATAAATGAATTATATATGTTATCTTTATGAACTAAATATGCAC